AAGGTAGACTAATTTCATCACCTATTTATTTATTTCAATTTTGTTCTTCATTTCCCTGTCTGTCGTTTCCCACGACTGTTATTTTCCCCGCCTTTCATAATCTTTGGCTGTGTTATTATATATATATTTTATTTAATTTTTCCGTGTCTCATTTTCGAACATTTTATCATACCTTTCATTTTATTCATACCTTATCCACTGACTTTCTCTTTTTTACCTTATTTCATTCCTTGCCTTTCGCTATATTTGTTATAGTTGTTCGATATTTGATATTTGTCAGATAATAATTTTCAGCTTTCTTTATTTCTTTATAGCTGCATAATGGCATACTAAATGTTTCCGCTTTTCTTTCACAACTTAAGATCGAAATAACAATTGCTCCACGAGATTTTTTTTTCTTTTTATTATTTTTGAAATCCAACGCACTGTATAACAATGAAAGTAAAAGAAAGTAACATTATATAACAATAAAAGTTAAAAGAGTAACATTATATAACAATGAAAGTTTAAAAAAAAAGTAACATTATATAACAATGAAAATAAAAGTAACATTATTTAACAATGAAAGTAAAAGAGAGTGAAAGGGACATTTTCATATCTCTTCTTCTCTCACATCCGATTTTGTCCCCGTGAGGCCTACCCTGGGTACTGATTTCGGAGACAAGGGGTGAATTACGGTCCCTTTATGTCCTTTGTCCCGTCTCTGTCCGCCTGTCTGTCTGTCTGTCTGTCTGTCTGTCTGTCTCTCTCTCTGTTTCTCTGTTTCTCTGTCTCTCTCTCTCTCTCTTACCACTGTCTCAAGCTGACAAATGTAAGACACACAACTTTCGTGTCAATTCGCGACAAGAAGATAGTAATATAAATAATGATTATCCTTTCACTTGACACTTGCCCTCACGACCCCCCCCCCCCTCCAATCTCCCTCCCCCCCTCTTCATCTGCGGGCGGTTGATCAGCGTGAAGGAACATTTGCATTATCCCATGACCTTTTGACCTTCCGAGTGCCATGCTGTCCTGTCCCTTTTTATTAGAATTTATTAGGATTAAACATTAATTATAAACAGCATCATGACTACTTCTGATTATATGTCAAAGGTTTTATTGTTCAGTATCATAACTGTTGAGTGTGATTGTTTTATTTCATCAAGTATCACTGTATCCCCTCCGCTATGACACCTATACCATCATTAATTAATGTGTATAGTGCATCACTAATTCATTACCTCTTTTCTCATTCGCAGATGAGGACGATCACGTGGGCGTTCGCGTGGGCGCTTCTAGCCGCGTGGGCGTGTCCTACGAGCCACGCCTCCTCGCCGATCAGGATCTCCGCCTACCCTTTCTCGGGCTACGGCAGAAGGCTCCCCGTGGATCCGTCGGAGAAGGAGAGACCCAGGCGGAATGCGACCTTCGTGGTGCCCGTGAGTTCGCTGGATGGATGGGTGGGTGGGTGGACGGATGGGTGGATGTATGGATGAAAGTCTCTCTCTCTCTCTTCAATACCTTATTAAGCAAACAAACAAAAAAAGAAAAGATAAATATGAATGAATACATAAATTATAACAGTAGACAAATAAATGAATGAATTGATGATGATAAATAGATGAATGAATGAATGAATAAAGGATAATTGATAAATAAATAAATAAATGAAAAGCTGAATACCAATAAACTGAGAAATAAGAAAGTGAATGAACATAGAGATAGGTGAATAAATGAATAAATAGATAATAATGAATGGATAGATGAGCAAATAAATGAATAAATGAGTAATAATAAACAGACAAACAAAAAAGTAAATGAATAAATTAATATCAATAAACAGATATATAAACAAATAATTGAAGAAATAAATAAAAATACAAAAGAACGCTACCTGACTCGCCCCCCCCTCCCTTCCAGGACTCCCAGGTCGGCGTCCCGGGGAACAACACAAGCGAAGAAAAGGAAGAAGAACAAACGAGAACGAACGACGCAGAAGGAGACGCCGGAGAAGGAACGTCGTCGGGAGAAGAAGAAGAGGGAGAGACGGAGAGAACAGGAGAGGAAGGGGAAGAACGAGTGGGACGAGAGGAGAGCGTTCTGTCGGTGAACAGGATGGGGATTCCGGCGAGAGTGAGCAGGAGGAAACTGCCGTCGAGGCCGCGCGGACCGACGGCTCGGATTGCCAAGGTAGGGCTGTTCAGGCTCGTGGTTGTAATGGTAGGGGGTGGGAGTGGGGTGGGGGGGGTAGTGGTGGTGGTAGTGATGGTTGTAATGGTAGTGGGGGTAGTGGTGATGGGTTTGATGGTAAGGGGGGTAGTGGTGATGGGTTTAATGGTAGTTTTGATGGTAGTGATGGTTGTAATGGTAATAGGGGGTAGTGGTGATGGGAGTGGTGGTGGTAGTGATGGTTGTAATGGTAATGGTGGGTACTGGTGATGGGTTTAATGGTAGTGGGGGTAGTGGTAAGGGGTTTAATGGCAGTGGTGATGGGAGTGATGGTTTTAATGGTAATGGGGGGTAGTGGTGATGGGTTTAATGGTAATGGGGTTAGTGGTGATGGGCTTAATGGTAATGGTGGGTAGTGGTGATGGGTTTAATGGTAGTGGGGGTAGTGGTAAGTGATGGTTTTAATGGTAGTGGGGGGAGTGGTGATGGTAGTGATAGTGATAAGTGTAATGGTAGGTAATAGTGATAGCTGTAATAATAATAGCTGTAATAGTAAAAGTAATGGTAATAGTGTAATGGAGTGAGGGTAGTGATGATAGTAGTGATAGTGATAGTAGTAGTAACAGTGATAGTTATAGTTGAAATAGTAGTAGTAATAGCGATAGCTGTAGTAATAATGATAATGATAATAATGATAATAATGATAATGATAATAATAATAATAATAAGGATAATAGTAATGGTAATACCATTACTAATGATATTGATAGAAGTAATAATAACATCTATAATGATGATAATAATGATAATGATAAAAGATAATAGTAATGATCACGGGTAGTAACACTGACCCGAGTAGCGAGCCCCGCCTGACGCAGCTTCCCCCCCCCCCCCCCAGCCTCAGGAGGAGACGACCCACCGCAACCTGCCTCGGCCGCCCTCCATCCGCCCTCCTGCCATTCCTGAAGCCGATGGTTTCGGGCCGCCCTCCACGCCCTTAGGAGCAGTTAAGCCTCCTGCGCCGCCCGTTGGTCTTCCGCCCTCCACTCCCCCGCCCACTCTGATTGGAACCACCTTCGGTCCTCCTGCTATACCCATTCCCATTAGCTCGCCTTCCCCGCCGCCGGGAGCCGACAGGACCCAGGTCACAGGTGAGTCTTCGTGTTCTATGTTGCGAAGGGCGGGTTGGGGGGGGGGGAGAGTTCTAGGGAATTTTCTCGTTGAGCGATGGAAGACGGGTTGGATTTCACTTGCATTTGCTCGGTCCTTCACTGTCAATACCCACGTCCAAATGGCTAATGTCCTGTACATGTAGATGTATAACAGATCTGCCGTTGGCTATTATTTCTCCTTGCAATCCTTAACTTACACCAAACACCTACCTGTCCCACTCTTAAAACCGAAATTACACAAATAATGAACAAAAAAATCACGATTCCCTCGCCCCGCCTGATCGGCAGACATCAAATGCATCGACACGGGCTCTGCCAGCTCCTTCATGGCGGTCCTGAACCTCCCCGTCGGGTACAACGCCATTCCCGTATTCGAGGACCGCCCTACCGTGGACCCCACCATCAACACGGCCTGCAGGATGATCCCGACGCAGATCACAAACGACATGTTCCAGCTGGTTGTGCGGGACCTGGAGCGATGCGGCGTCCAGCGCTGCCGTCAGCCGAATGGCGAAGTAAGTTGCTCAGGCGACGTTTCCGTGTTACCAATTTTGTTTCGATTTTCACAAATCTGTTCTGGTGTGAGTTGTTTTTCCTCCGACTTATCTTGGGGGACTTCGAAAGGTATCCCCGTCCAGTCAGTGCAGACCCTGTACGTCTCTTCCCCCTTGCAGACGTGGTTGTGTCTCAACCTGAGGTTCCCGCTGGTGAATGGCCTGAAGCTCCCGGAGGACGAGATCATCCAAATCAAGTGTCGGCCGCAGGACAAGATGGCCCAAGACACGCATGTGCTGACGGTAGCCACGGCAATGTACGCCGCTAAAGGGGCAATGTAGGCACCCACCTCCCATTTTCCGTTCTTCTCGTTTTCTGTCACGGACGTACGGGAGACTATTCTCTTCGACTAACTGCATGATGTGTCACACGTTTTATCACTTCTCGGACCAGGAATGTTTTTTTAATAAATGAGGGTTTAGATAGTCAAAGAGATTAGCAGTTTTACTAAGGATTTTGGTCTATGCTTTCATGTGGTCGTTTCAATTTCATCTCCTTTAATATATAAGTGTTCATGTACGTATAGCACCGAGTTTCATCCAACCTTTATAATTACTTATTACCATTTAATAGAAGTCTTCATTCATAATTTCATTTCCTGTTTACTTTGGTTTTCAGTCCCCTAAGAAATCATTACATATTATACTATCATTTAAAGATACTGATTCGATTTTTCAATGTAATTTCGGCATGCCTATAAAAAAAGAAAAAAATATATAGAAAATTCACAGACTTAAGACACAAGACATCTAACAAATGACACAACCAAGGAGTGGCGTCAAGTCAAACAGAAGGGGGAAAAAAAATATGACAAGAAAAAGCAAAGCAAAGAGAGAAATAACCCACTCAACAGGGTCAAGGCAGGTCAAGCAAGGAAGGCAATGGAGGCACTGCATTTCTGACATCACACGGACCCGTCACACTTTCCCACGGATTTCGACTTCCTTCAACGCCACTATTTTCTGGGAGCCTACGTTGATTTTATTTTATTTCTCTCCACTAGATACATGTTTTATAACCATTTTATTCTGTTTTGGCCTTCCTTTATACCAAAGCTAAAGGAACACTTGTATATGTCTAGCTTTAGCTGTCACATCTTGCTTACATAGATGTCATGTAACT